GATATATATGGTAAATTGTGAATTAAGTACATATATGTAAATGAGTAATTAAAAAGGGTTATTGTATGATCAGTATAAAAACTCATATTATATCCAAAAAAAAAAATTATATATAGATAATATGCATGTATATAGATAGATAAAGGCTGACCTGATTTCTGGACAAACCAGTCTGTCGTGCTAAGAGGTGCTTATCAGCATCGCTTGGGTACCTGAGAAAGAGACCAGAAAATGACTTCACAATCTTTAGAACCCTAAACCCAATAATTATTTTTCTTTTTTGTATAGAGAGAGAGGAAAAAAACATAATCAAGTAGATGCAAGAAAAGGTACAAACTTTCTTCTTACAAGGGCGTGAGAATCTAAGGGACAAAAGAAAAAGCTGATTTCAGAATAGAAGAAGCATTTGATTTTATTTTTGTATCTTCACTTATTTTTCATCATAAAGCAAAATATTTATCTGTACAACTCTTCTCTTCTTTACTTCACTAACAACAAAATAGTAAAATTCTGCAGACATTAAATAGAGAAAGTACTGATGAATAATGAAAGAAGAAATTGCTTTTTTCAGCTTTTAGTTTTTTTTTCTTCCACTTTTTTATTTCTGTCTTTCTTAAGAGGCAATATACCAATGACACTGTACCACTGACAAATCTGAGACCTATTTTTGTAGTTATGTTAATGGCATTGTTACTTCTTTTGATAATAGTATGTGGAATGAATTAAAGCAAATTAAAGAAAGAAAAAAACTATAAAGGAAAGGTTAGGCAGAGACAGAGAAACCCTTAGGATGCTATTATGATCCCAAAGCATAAAAGTTTGTGATCTCACTCTGCAAACTTCTTTTGTTGCATTAATTATTTAAACCCTTTTTGCCATGCAAAACAACCTACATTTATATAATCATAAACAAACAATTTTCTTGAAACTCTCAAGGTCAATGCATTGTTACCCTTGTTAATTTGGACTCTCAATTGGTAGCATCAAGGGAAAAAAAATTTGATATTTGAATTTTGATTAGTAGAAATAAACATAAAATAATCAAACTCACTGAAGAAATGGCACTTATTTTTTTTATTTTGGTTTTCAAAAGAAAAAATCAGCAACTTTTAATTTTTATTGAAAATTGAAACTGAAATATTCTTCCCGCAATAACCAAGTCAGTTTGAAGAAGAAAAAAAACAATTTGTCACTTTCATAAATTAATTTTAATAAACATATAATCAGTTAAAGTCTTGGTATTAATGCATACTGGTAGTCTACATTTTATAATATATGGTCAATATTCAAGAAGATTAATTATTTTTGTATCGGAGATTAAGAGTAGGTAAGTATTATTGATTAAGGGATGAGAAAATGGACTTACGGATTGAGAAAATGTTCGAAAAGCCAAGCTCTAAGGATATTAACGGAGCGTTCAGGCAAACCACGTTGCGGTCTCCATGCCTCTTGCTCCATCATACCCATATGATGAAACGCTCGTTGCTGACGCAAACTCTGCTCTAGCAAACGCAATCGCGGCGTTTCACCTTTGGTTAATCCCGTGGACCCAGCCCCTGCCGCCTCTTTATCCCCTAGAAGCTCACAACTGCGTTTAAGCTGAACCGCTACCGCGTCTTTCAAACACCGGAAGTGCCTAGACATTGCCTTTTGAGCTAATGTCGTGTACGGAACCGCCGCGCCGTAACCCATTACTTGGTCGAATGAGTTCACTACCATTTGCATTTGTTCGCAGTAGTGGTTGTACCGTCGGTCCACCTACAAATTAAATTTTAAAGAAATTAACTATATATACATTGATGAATTTTTGTTTTGTTATTATTAGCCCAATATTCAAGATAAAATACAAACTTATCAAAAGATTATTTCGTTTAGATATTATTATACATACATACTTCAATAGTTCAATGTGTTTTCTTCTCTTACTAACAATTTATGGTATCTTGGAACATCATATACTATATTCTTGAGATAAGAAAATGTCAACTACAAAATAAATTGTAAGATAAATAATGAAGTAACTTTAAGGACTAGTTTTGGTTACGTAGGGAAGGTGGCTAGCTTATATGGAGAAGGAAGTTCTAATTTAAAATTTATGGTTGTGAAGACTAAATCACTTAACCAATCATAGTTTAATTTCTTATGATAAATTTGATTAAGCGATGCCACCAAACGCGTGACACAAAATATGCATTAATATATCAAATTAGACCATAACACCAGTATAATGATATTAGTTAGAAAAATTATATAAGTGATGGTAGGATTGCGTAATCAGGCTTTACCAACTAGAGCATGTGTCGTGCTCTTGTACCAGTCGGTCTTTCTCAATACATTTAAATTTAAAATAACATATATAGATTTTTTGAAATATTGGTTGATTCAAATTAATTGTATAAGAAAAAAATATCACGAAGAAAAATCAATTTTCTAGCGATTGATATGGTATTGGTTACTTGATTAATTCAATCATATTAGAACGGTTCATTAAAAGTTTGGTTAGAGAAAAATAAATGTGAAAACGTTGTTACCTCTTCAAGCATAGAGAGTAGCTTGACCTTTCTTCTTTGATGTTCTATCCGATCAGCCGGAGACAAAGGAGGATTATCATTGGCTGTTCCGGCCGAAGACGACGAACCTCCGCCTCCTCCTCCTCCACCGGTAGTATTAGGGTTTGAGTTGTTCCTACTAAGTTTGTTCTTCTTGAAATGTCCTCTTCCAACACTACAAAACTCTTCCAACAACTCTTGTGCCGGTTTCGTATATTTCGAATTCCTCAACGTATAGATCCCTCCAATGGATGAAGAAGCCGCCATGGGAGATGATGATGATGACCCGAAATGTCCCACAACTTGATGAGAAGAAGAATTCTCAAGAAGAAGATTCTTGAACTGATTGAATTGGTGATGATGAGCCGATGCGTTAGAAGAAGAAGAAGTTCCATCAACGGCTGCACAATAAATGCTTCTATATTCCTCGGCTTTAGCTGCGGCTAATGAAGATGAGAGAGATAAAGACAAACCCTTTCCTCCTTCCACGTGGACGGTCCCGATCATATCTCGGTTGTTATGATGATGATCGGAGGAAGATGGCCATGAGAAGTGATGTTGTTGTTGCTGTGGCTGCATAGTGTTTTCTTCGGTGAAAGCAAAACCTTGTTGATGATGATGGTTTGGTAGTAACATATGAAGAGTAGAGTTATTGTTGTGACGGTTTTGTTGCTCTAGTAGTTGTTTAGTAGACTGATCAAGAATCTCTCCACCGGAGCCGCCGCCACCACCTCCAGGGTAAGCAAACATTTCAGACAACATTCCGGCGGTTTCATAAACCGGAATTTGAGCACCGGAGACGGCTGATTCATCTACTTCCTCTTGATGAGTAGTTGATGATGCTCGATGGAATCCATTAGAGAAGGAAAAGATTCCTTGGTGATGATGATAATCTTGTGACATAGAAGAATCTGAATTATGATGAGTCTTGTGATGAGAAGTTGTAGTAGCTAAACCCATATCAATTCTTGATTCTTGTTATTCATTATATATCTCTCTCTCTTTCCAAACCTCTTGGATCCTGTAAGGATTCAGACATACACAGAGAATCTTATATATATAACAGAAAAAAAATACAAAAAATTTAAGAAAAAGAAAGAGAGAGAGAGAGGAGTCAACTAGGTATTATACAGTTTTTTTTTTCTTTCTTCTGCAATCTCTTTCTTATAACTCTTTTAAGGTTTTCACTTTCAGCTTCGGTCATCATCTACATATATGGTATAGAGAGAGAGAGAGAGGAAGTACCTTGGAGTTGCAGAGAATTAAAGAAAGAGAAGATTGATGATGAGCTTATGTTATAGCTATCGTTTTCTTCTATATATATCTCTCTCTAGCTTTCTTTTTCTTGAGTTCTCTTTTATTTTATTTTTCTGTGTTAGTGAGAGTTTTTATTCAGCAAATTCTGGAAAACCAAAAACTTATATAAAAATCTCTCCCAAAGAGAAAGGAAGAGAGAGAGAAGAAGAGGTCGCTGTTCTTTCTTCATCGCCTCCCTTTTTAAGGGAGAACGGCCTATTCCCCCCTGAACTATGTTGCTTTATCGCTTACATACACAAAACTTTAGTCTGTGCCTAAACCATCATGAACTTCAATATAATTTGAATTTTCAACACAAACTTTAAACATCCGGTGGAAACCCTCAAATTGCTAGACGGTGTTACTGTTCCGTTAACGGATGCTGACTAGGACGACACGTGAGCGTTTAAAACGGCTGCGTTTTGACATACGTGGACTCTCATTAGACACAGAAACAAAACGACGTCGTTTTGATTTGAGCAAAACGACGTCGTTTTGTAATTTGGGGCTTTTAGTCGAGTTAGGGTTCATCTTCTTCCCTTTCTCGAGCCAAAATCAGAAATTGAGAGGAAAGACAGAGTGAGACGAAGATGGGTGATAAAGGAAGAGGGATTCCAAGTCGATGTAGATGTGGAGAGGATGTAGTTTTGAGGACATCAAAGACTATTAAAAATCCAGGGAGGCTCTTTTATGCTTGTCGATATGGAGAGGAGGTAATGCTATTGTAGTGTAATTGCGCTTAAATTATGAGAAATGTCTGAATTGTGTTTTTGTATGTTGCAGAATGGTCGTGGTCACTTGTTTAAGTGGACAGATGAAACAATGGTTGAAGAGATGGAAGACATAATTCCAAAGATTGATGAACTTGAAAGAGCTTCCTTGACATTACAAAAAGGTTTACAAGCTTTAGAATCTGAGATGGAAACTCTTGCAATGGAGACTCGTTCATGTGAAGCTGTTGTATGCGGTTTTGAGAAGGAGCTGCGGGGTTTAGAGAAGGAGATTCAAGGCTGCAAGATGGAATTGCGTGGTTTGAAGAACATTCTTGTGTGTGTAGTGTTGATGGTTCTTGTTTATGTGTTTGTGTGTTAGTGATTATGTTTTTGGTTCTTCTTTATGTGTTAGTGATTATGATTCTGGTTCTTCTTTATGTGTTAGTCAGACATTGTTTTATGTAATGGAAAATTATGCACTAACAATGCTCAAAAGAAATTGACTTAACCATAATTTGAAAACAGAATTATCATTTGGTTACAAAAACCTTAATCCATAAGTCAACATAACATTAATCCTAAAGATACAATGATACATAACCAAAATATTATCCGAATCCCCTAAATGCTCTTATAAAAACTTTCAGAGCACCTTCACTACCAAAACCTTCCTTCAAAAAGACCCTGCAAACCGTTTTAACAACCTGCAACAAGAAGGAAATAACTTGAAATCTGAATCTCATATACTGAATCTATATTATAGAGCATCATCTACAAACCTGAGAGTTTAGTCAATGACTTGGCTTTGTGTTGGCTGACTTGATGATCCAACTGTTGCACTCTCTGTAACCTTCTTTGGACGTCTATAAGGAGCAGGTCCAAAGAATTGGCACTTCCTTGTGTTATGTCCTTCTCCACCACATATTCCACAATGAATTATTCTCTTCTTTCTAGAAAGTTTAAGCTCCTTCTCTTTGCCTTTGCTCTTCTTTTTCTGTGGTGATTCATTCCTCTCCTTGATTCTTTTTGGGATTCTCTTTCTACCTTCTGGTTTTGGTGGTAACACAAGCTCAGTCTCACCGGATTTCCTCCAGAAGTTGCAGCCTCTTACCGCATCTATATATGCACTGTACTCATTTCTCCACCTAGAAGTCAAATACCAAGATGAAATGTAGTTTTCCGGATTCAATTTCTTGTCTGTAATCACCATCAAAGCATGACGGCAAGGAATGCCTGACATGTCCCACTTCCTGCAACTGCAAGAATGCTTTCCTAAGTATAACTGGAATGATGATTTCTTCTCCTTAACCTCATACTCACCTGGACCAGCAGGCCATGCCTTACAGTTTACAATCTTCTTCATCTCCAATTGCAGCCTCTCCATCGCATTTATACTATACTTGCCTTTGTGATTTTTTGCCTTCTTCCTTCTGAGATCTATTCGGATCATTGCTCTTCTCCGGATAGTTTCCAACATTTCCACCATTGGCATCTCTCTTGTAGCGTTAATGGCATTATTAAATGACTCGGAGATGTTGTTACTTACATCATCAGAACCAGATGTTGTTTTGAAAAAGCAGAGGCTGCAGTTTTTTGGATTCTTCTGCATCACTGAATGGTAGACACTCATGTCATACATCTTCAACGCTTCTATACTCTTATCATATTGTGCGGTGTTGTAGCTCTTTGCAACCTTCCAGAATAACTTCTTCATCTCTGCTCTATGTGGATGGTTACTCTTAAGGTTAGCATATATGTGTCTTGCACACATCCGATGCTCAGAATGTGGTAATAGCTGAGAAACCGCATTTAGTAAACCCTGAAATGACAGAATAAGAATCAAGAGACTTACCTTTTGTCTATCAAAATAAATAAGAAGATTGAGATTTACCTTTTGTCTATCAGAAATGACAGTAAAACCAGAACCATCACCAAGGCTGAAATCACTCTGTAGCTTTCCAATGAACCACTTCCAGTTGTCTTCATTCTCTTTCTCCACCACAGCCCACGCAAGAGGATACATCTGGTTGTTGGAATCTCTTCCAACTGCAGCCAATAACTGACCCTCTGAAGAAGACATAAAATCTGAAGAAGACATCAAGTCCACCATCTTGCTGGAATGTATCTAGTTCCACAGTTGAACCTGCATTTGTACTAGCAAAACAAAGAAAACATTACTGCAAATCATGTTAATTTAAACAAAAAATCTGAACAATGTAAGAATCAGTGATTGATCTTACTTTAATAGCTCAAGGCGGTAATCTTTGAGTCTTGAGTATTGCTCATCATGCTCCTCTTGAATCATCTCCAAAGCTCTTGATTTTGCCTTTCTGCACTGATCAGTAGATGCAATTAAGCTCCAACGCTTCTGGATTTCTTGTCTGATGTTTTTAGGCATCAACTGCGGATTATCTCTCACATCATTCACAAACAGCCTAGCAATAACTTCTTGAGTAAGTATCTTGCTATACCCAGTAGTCACACAATTATGGTCATCATTGAATGTTTTAACCACATACTTCTGAACTGTTGTCTCATAAGCACAATAGATCCTCCATAAACATGGCTGATGCTCTTCTTCCTCCTCCGCTGGATTTTTTTTTGCAGTTTCTGGACTCTCTCTTCCAGTCTCTAAATTCTCTCTTTCAGTGTCTGGTTTATCTTTTGCAGTCTCCTCATTCTCTTCTTCTTCAGCTCCTTTCTCAGAATGACATCCACTAGCACATCTAAGTTCTGATTTTGTGCTCTCCCATCTCGTATACTTGATATTCCTTCCTGACTTCAACACATACTCCACAACTGCTTTTTTGAACTCATCTATACTATCGAAGACTTGTTTATACTTCAGCTCACCACTACCTTTAATGTATCTCTTAAAACCATCATCACCATCAACTTCACAATCTGATTCCACGGGTGTCGCATATTCATCATACTCGTCATCTACATCAACAAAAGCAGCCACATTTCTTTCCACTCTTATTTCTTCATCAAACTGTCCACATTCATCTCTTGCTTCTTCGTGGACTTCTTGCTCTTCTCTGTTAGCGTAATCCTCTTCATCACCTTCAGGCTCCACACGTTCAGGCTCCACATCTTCAGGCTCCAAAAAGATATCAACAGCTTTCGTCCACATTGCAGCCAAACACATTCTCTTAAAATTTTCATCACCATTAGAGATTGGTTTCCTCTCCTCAAATCTATCATATGGCAGTTTATACCAAACTTTATGCCCATACAAACTCACCGGAAGCTGATTCATTAACTGTGTAAACAACTCACTTGGCTTTGATTCAACGAACCGAACACCACCACCTTCGTAAAAAATCTGTCCTGAAACATTTTCAAATTTTCCACTGTGGTAGCAAGCAAAACTTGCAACAATCTCCTCTTCAGAACTGCATCAAATGTCCAAAAAAAAACATAAGAACTCGTTTAAGCATTTCGTCGAACAAATGGAGGACAATAAATAAATTTACTAGCTAATCAATTTAATCTTCAAATTGACACAATGTGTTTATGTAAATCTAAGAATGTATAACGCAATCTATCCAATTTCGTAACCTAAAGGAAGTGAATATGAAAGATCTGGGATTGAAAGATATGGAAACTCGACTAACCTCATTATCGGAGAAAAATCTTGTTTTTTGTTCTCAGATTTCTCGAATCGAAGCACCCATATACCGTATCTCCAATCTCAAATCTTCGTTCGTCTCAATCTTCGTCTCACTCTTCGTCTCACTCTGTCTTTCCTCTCAATTTCTGATTTTGGCTCGAGAAAGGGAAGAAGATGAACCCTAACTCGACTAAAAGCCCCAAATTACAAAACGACGTCGTTTTGCTCAAATCAAAACGACGTCGTTTTGTTTCTGTGTCTAATGAGAGTCCACGTATGTCAAAACGCAGTCGTTTTAAACGCTCACGTGTCGTCCTAGTCAGCATCCGTTAACGGAAAAGTAACACCGTCTAGCAATTTGAGGGTTTCCACCGGATGTTTAAAGTTTGTGCTGAAAATTCAAATTATATTGAAGTTCATGATGGTTTAGGCACAGACTAAAGTTTTGTGTATGTAAGCGATAAAGCAACATAGTTCAGGGGGGAATAGGCCGTTCTCCCCCCTTTTTAACCCACCAATCTTCTTTATTATTTATTTGTTATTTTTAAAATCTTGATTTATCATTTTTTGTTTTTTGAATGAAGTGTTTTTATAACTTCTTCTTTTTAGTTTTAATCGGCAAAGGTTTCCATATCAATAACGATGAGGAAGAAACAAAATCACAAAACTTATATACATACTAAAATTACCATATTGTCCTTGTCTTTTTTTTCTTTTGTTTTTTTTGTCAACGATATATTTTTTATTTCTAAATAAAATAAAAAAAAACTTTTTTATCACGGAAATGTCGGCTGATATCAACATTTTTAAAGGAGTTAATTTGGAAACTAAAATGAATACGAAGATAAGGTGAGTCCAAAGGTCATATATCTCAATGAACCAAACCACCACCATAAATACTTCCACATATCTTTGTGCTTCAATAATATTCTCATTTTGATTTTTGAGCCAAAATAAAATATAAATATTATTCTTATTTGACAAAGTAAATACTAATATAATATTCCCATGATGTCCTCTAAGTTATTCTTTTGATTTTGTATGTCTTTGTTGTTTAGGGACACCTATGTCATTTTAGACTACTTTTTCATGTAGGTACTTATTCAATTAGCTTATACTATTATATATCTCTCATATCCTTTTAGTGCAAAGCTAAAATTACAGTATAATTAAAACAATAATTTTTTATGAAACAATTAACTTAGGAATTAATTTATAAAATATTTTATAAATACATCACTGTCCGAAAATTTTATTATTAAGAAAATTAATCAAAAATATAATTTAAAGCATTATCAAATTTCTTAAGTATTGCTTAGATTTCTATCATCACGGATGTGTAGAAAAATATCATTGGAGATGACCTCACACTCGATAAGATGAACCACAAATCTAACTGCAAATCGAAATTGCGTCATTCTGTGTTCATTGATTAGGAAATCTCTCATTACATGAAGATAAACAATAATCAGAGATTTTATTTTATATTTAAAGTAAGGATTGATCGGCGGACCGGATTGCTCCGTTCCGGTCATGCATGGGTTGACATGGATTCTCTTAGGCCGTGGGTGGCGGTATATTCGAAATGCGTACGAAATACCGAGATGTCCCCATGGGCATCTATTCCACCCACCTAGATTGGATGGGCGTGCTTCGTTGGAAAGCATGGATCCGTCTAAACTGTCACGGGGTGAGCAAGGTGTGAGTGTCGCTCACAGGAATCGACACGCCCATTCTCCGCGACTACTCAGCAATTTGTGCATATATGAAAAAGTTGAAGATTAAATATAGAAAACTTCTCTTATATGAAAAAGTTTTTCAATTTATGCATATATACGGTGTAACCAACTTTAAACCTTCATTTGTCATTCAAAATTTTTATTTTCATGTAAAATTACATTACGTGATAATGTTCCTGAAGACAAATCAAAAGCTCATTAATTGACATTCCATGGAAAGAATTTCTCCAAAACAATTTCCGGAAAAATGCAAACAACCTGGAATGTATCCAAAAGATGTCCTAAAGACATCTAAATATCTAATGATGAATATGCATTATAACCTAAGAAATATATGCTCATGAAAAGATCAATTGTTCATGTCTATTGTCTCCAATGTGTGTGTCTGTGTATTTTTTTATTTTATTTTATTTTATTTTGCAATATAGAAATATAATGATGATGCATGCACCCTTATATCTTTTTGTACTGAGCTTCTTTTGTTTACTTCGCGTGTTCGTTATGTTAATTTTTTTACATTAAAAAAAGGATATTAATTAGTGAATGTTTTACATTGTGTGAAATTCTTTTACGGACGTACCATACTTTTACGTTAATATGCACCAATGATAGATTGTCTATCGATATGTTTTCGGTTTATAGGCTTTCTTTTTTAAAATTCTAATTCGTTCACAAGGACATACTTATAAATTTAATTCCAACCATAAATTATAATGACGTTGTATGGATACAAACACAATTATTTTCTGTTAAAATTAACGATCATTATCCTAGGTATATTATATATTTAAAAATAATATTTTTCCAAAATCGATTTGACGTGCGTATCCATCACACAAACAGTTAGAGAGACATGTTGGATATGTGCTATGTAGGTTATAAATCCACAATGGGATAAATAATTAATGGAAGGCTCGAAAGCAAAAGTGTAAAGCCCACTTGTATATATATCTAAGGAGACTCTATGTTGGAATCTATCATGTCAGAATCAGATACCAAATCAATAATTTTGTAGCACCCAAAATTTTGTTTAAACTCTTTACTTAATCTAAATTAATTCAAGTGGTTTCTCAATAATACTATTATTGTTTACTAAGAATAATTTAGTGTATTTTTAATATAACCAAGAAAATGGTTAATATTTCATTGAACTAGTCAAAATTTAAGTTTGTATATAATCAAAATTAGAAATATTTCTCCAGCCACTTTTTTTCTATTGCGTAACTTTCTCCGGCCACCTAAAATCTTATTTTCATAGCTCACGTCCTTGAAATAGCAGAAAATTAAAACAGAAAACAAAGAAAGAAGTTACACTAAAATTCTCCAAATATACTTTATGATTTTAATTTTCACATTTTTTTTCTAACTGCAAATGAGATTGATAGTTGACAGCCCAACCTTCTTCACTCCTACCAGTATCTCTCTCTCTCTTTTCGAATTATTAATACTAGAATTTAACCCGCGTTACACCGCGGGGCTAACATTTTTAAAAAAGTTGTAATGTTATTTTTCTAAAGATTAACTGAAGATATATCATATTAATTTATATTTTTCAAAGTAGATATCTATCTATCTATGTATTATTTAGTGTATGATTACTATTGGTTAAGTTTCCATTTTTGAAGTATAGATACGAAAACATACATTTTTAAGTAACGATGTATGGTTGATTTTAAAATTTTGAATATTTTACTCCGCGGTATACCGTGGGTCGATTTTTTATAACTAAAATTTTTAAATTTTAAGTTGTATTTGTTTTGTTAATATTGTATGTTTTGTTTTGTGTTTAAGATTGTATAATTGTATTTTGATTGTTAATTTTAGGATTTCATCCGTGATATACCGTTCTTTATTAATATCAACCCAAACCCGTCATCCCATGTAAACCCGTCTATATTATCCCGTTAGCTAAATTATTATTGTTATAAAATCCAAGAAAATAAATTATTATTGTTATAAAATCCAATAATTTTAGGAACTCACCCGTGGTATACGGTTCCTAGAATTATTTTAAATTTATACTACTAATATATATTTTATATTTACCATATAAAGTATATGATTTCAAGTGTTTTTTATTTATTTAAATAAAGCAATGGATTTAATGATGATAGATATAGTTCTTTTTTTGTATCTGTATATGATTTTTCTATGTGAATATTTTGATTATTATAAATTAGTATTTTTATTGCTATGCAAAATGTTAATATAAATATTTGCTATAAATCGGTTTTATGCATATTTTGTGAAGTAAAATTCACGGAAATATTTTTTGAAGATATATGGAAAGATTGTGTAGAGATTTTTAGAAACAGATTAGGCAAGATATCCTTTGGTTAATATTTTTTATTTAAATTTTATAAAACTAAATAATAAATGTCAATGGCATAGTCTCGTAAATAAGTTGGAACTCTAGGATTTATTTGCTAAGTGTACTCTAGGAACTCTTCTATATTGTTTAGGTAATATAATCTTAACCCCGTCTTAGGACCCAATGACCCGTGTTTGTTAGATTCGTGATTGGCCTCCTAAATATTAGGTAATATTTTAAATATCTTTATACCCGTTTGATCCATTGATCCGTTTTTTAATAAACTGGTTCATATTAGTGATATGGAATTAAAATAATTATAATTAGAGATCTCTAATAGCATATATTGTAATTTCTTACAATTATATATCATTTTCATTAACATTTTCAAAAACATTTTTGATAACATGTTCGAATAATGGAATACTATATAACATTTTCAATAACATTTTCAATAACATTTACGATCACATTTTCGAATAATATATTAGTATATAACATTTTTACTAATTGTGTTACATTTTCGAATTGATTAGTATATAACATTTTCGAATTATATTAATTGTGTAATCGTTTGAAGAATTTTTTTTCCGAATTATATGTATTATATAAACAAAATCTTTTAATATCTTTAAACCCATTGACCCGTTGACCCGTTTATATATATTAGTGACATGGAATAAAATTTTATGATTAGAATTCTCTAATGGCATATATTGTAATTTCTTACAAAATCTAAGTTATGATCCTTAGGATGTACTTCCCAAATATTAGTATAGGATTTTTGAAAACTAAAATTTGTTTTTCGAAAAAAATAGTTTTTGGTCGGGTGAATCTCTCACGTGAATCCCACCCCTAACTCACACGTATGCACAACCATCGATCACGTTTGGAACCTCCTTTTTCGCACGTGTGGTGTGTCCTTTATCCTCCTTTACGCATTTAATAGATAGGTAACTCAAAACATGTAATGGATCCTCTGGTTCTAGTCTCCACAA